TCATTATGTAATCTGTAGTATTTACCGTACAGAAAAGGGTTTAAGGACGTGCTGTCTAGAGAATAACTCGAGCATTACTTCTTGCGAGCGAAATAAAGGGTCAGAGAGCTCCACTGGGAACAACACTATATATATATATATATTCCAATCTGCTTTATAGTTTTTTGCCTCGAGAAAACAGGGTTAAAAGTCTTCTTCATTTTGAAAATCCAACGGTTTCTTACACTCAAGACTTTGTAATCCCGAACAACCGTAAACATATCGTATTTGTCTCTAAAAGATCTGTCGATTTCTAAGTACCTGAACACGTAGAATCCGTAGCTGTATAATTTCGTTGTGTTCATGCTCCTTAACCTGTTCCAAGCTCAACTGCAAACGACCGATCAAGTTTACTCGTCCACGCGTCTGAATTTTGCCACTTTTGATCAAAACGAAGTCTTGATTTGGCCAGAACAGAGTCGAGTCAGTAAAGTCTTTCGGATTTCGACTAGAACAGTCACATAAAATAATCTGGTGCTTTAGCTTCGGGGCATTGGCCAGCGCCTAGAGAAAAAAGAATAGTGTAAAATACAGGTAAATATGCCAACGTATAGCACAACACCAAAAAGACTATTTGCTTGGGGTATTAATATGGTGATGCACAAAATCTGCAATATATCAAGGCCAAAGTCCATGTGTATGTAGGGCATATATTGCATACGCATCCTTAGCGCCAGGAAAATATATGATTACGCCAGATAAACCCAGAGAAGAGTGCCATATTTGTTATTTTCACTGGCATCAGTGAAAGCTAAATTTCTGTTAGTAAATCCAAAATTGTATTAAGTACAATATCTACCTGTACCTAACAATAAATGTAATTTCGTTGTTACCTCGAACAGGTTGTTTCATACCCAACAGTATGTGAGCTACTGCGATAATTCCTCATTATACATAATCCATGCTGACAAAATGAAGAAGGAATTCAGAACACTGCACAGAACTTTGCTACCATTTCATGAAACAATACAATACAGTCATCATTGGCAGAATAAGTAACTCAGTAGCAATAACGAGGGTGAGATAAATAGGTCCTCTGCGTCATCGCTGGCCGACTACAGCTGTGCACTAACTACCAAGTCCAAGACATCAACCTTTCTCAGCCACATTTTGTTTTCTCTTAGTGAAACTAGGAAGAGTTGAGAGGGTTCACCGTAAGCAGCATACCTTCAGAACACTGATAGTTGAAATGCTTGTTATCTGTTTTAAGCCTTCGGCGCACTGCTGCCTGTGGCTTTTTGAACAGCGATGAAAATGTTCATTGCAGACAGAAACCATCATCGTCAATGTCAACAAACTTGGATCGATTTTCAGGCATATGATACTAAAATATGGCATCGTTTCAAACAAATTGGGTTACTTAGGATAAAGCGATGGTAAGTTTCTAAGTATTAATGAAATTAGCAGAAACGTTTGTGAACTCTTAAATCACTTTGAAATCAGGCCGATCAGTTACACATTGCATTGATGTTTTCCATCTTCACCACCGGGTGTAACAGAAAAATGATGGCAAATGTTCGGTGCTTTTTAACAATTTCGGATCACAATTCACCGAACAAACGAACGAATGTTTTTACTCAAACGTGCATACCCAGAGAGTCTTCCGCAACTCGACGTTAGGTAGTTCCGTGGCGAGATGCAGGTTCTCGAAACTAATCTGGTCGTTTGGTCGGTCATTCCAACAAAACAAAACGGCCATCTGAAACGTGGTCACTTCCAGTTCGAAATGGCCTCGTCGATTGTTGAATGAAATAACGCCGTTCGACCAATGGTGCAGCCACTGCAAACGACGGCCAGAATGCTGAGACCGATAAAATTCTTCGACTTCTGGAATGAAGTCCTCCAGCTCTCGAGGTAACGTTACGGGAAGCCGCTCTATCGTGCGCGCCCATGCTCCCGCATTCAAAATTTTTATATTCACCATATCTACAATAAAATGAAAAGATTAATATCGATTTCGAACCATCGATTAAAATCAAAAACTTCGCATAAACCACAAGTAACGCATAAGAGTCGCCTAAAATCCTTAATCGTTCAAAAGCGCGAACAGAATTTACATTAAACGTACATGAGGCAGTAGAACTTACACTAAATGAACTAACACGGAATCTCAAGAAAAAAGTAACCACCAAGCTAAAAGGAGGCCTTCATAGAACAAATGTAAGAACTAAATATTGATCAATTCAAGTTCAAGTTCACTACGCCACAAGAGCTACAACAAGCAACTGCTTTTCAGCGACAACCGGAGAGACAAGCAAAGTGTGAGTAAGTAGCAATGAGAATGCTTGAATAGATATGCGATGTAACCCAAAAAACCACATTCAAAACAACTTCATAAAGAGTGTATTAGTTTAGATAATCACCTTGAGCCATTTGTAGGAAGAACATCTCTGGTTTAAGACATACATTGTATTCTCAGCTTCTTAACACTTTTGTTATAAAACACCGATTACTGCATCGCACAAGCAACAATTTTTCTCTGAACGCAGATCTGCCTCCACCTCGTTCATTCACGTCGCACGCTGCACTTCTGTTTGACACATACCATCGGTTCCAACATGAAAAACTTGCGGCTGGAGTGATGGATCTACAGGCAACTGAAATATCTAAAAGGGTCTGTCTTAATCTTCAGAGCTTTTTAAAAATTTTGCTGTAAGGTAAACGGTTAGGAAGTTGGAAGCTCTGTCTGATGCGTCTGCCTCCGCGACCTGAAAGGAGAAGCGGCGATAGATGATGATGAGGTAACCGGTTACCTCACCGTTCCTCACCTAAAACAAATTTCCCCATTATTCTGTTCATCCATGATGCATGCTGACACTTACGCTGAGGCCTGCAGTGTTTAGCCGTTAAGCTCCTTGCTGGAAGAAATGATTAATGCACAACCAGAGTAACGGAGACAATCTTGCTTCTTAATCAGCAGATCAACCGAAAATATCTGTCCAGGAAAAAAGTCATTAATTACGTAGTCCTGCCACTTAACAATACTTCTGCTTCGAAGCAAATGTTGCAATCATTCCTCAACCACCGCTCATGATCCTTCCTTAAAACGACGAATTCCATGCAGTACAGCAATACCAATGCGACCAAAGCACGGTACAAACAGATTTTTGTGACAGGGATAATACTCCTTCAAAAAGGGGTACATCAGAGGTAACCTCCGATAGCACGCAAACTGACCGTACGAAGGCACCGTTGGTGTGCTTATGCATTTTTGCAACTCAAAACCTAACAGCACCAACGTAAGGCAAGATCAGGAAGATGGTGGTTTGCTGCCGGGGTGATGAATCATGGAGAAGTTCAAACGCACAACGGAGTTGCATGAAAAAGCATAGACATTACATGCACCGGTTTCTGGCATTAGTAAAGAAACGGTTTGAGACCTTCAAAACTAACAGAAAAAACCTGCCAAAAAACGTTTATCAACAAAACAGTTTTACTATGAAATCACTTGGTATAATTAGTTCAGCAGAGATAAATTTATAGAAACAAATTCTTCATGAAGATATTGCAGTTTATCTCATTCGCCGTGCAAGCGAGGGCTTGCAAATACAGAGGTCATTTCTTGCAACATTTTAGCTACGCGAACGATATCGTCTTTGGAAGTCCCACTTACATGTTGAGGCTTTCAAGCTAACCCAACTGCCATGATACATTACTTTTCTTGAACTTAAGAATGGATATCAAACGGTTGCTCTTCAGCACATCAATTTTTAAAATGATGCCAGTCAACAGCGGAGTCGATATCCTTTCTGATCGGAGGAGGGAGAGAGCGCGATGCCACTATAGAGCGTCAAAAAAGGCTCCATAAGAACGACACCACCAGTGGAAAAGAACAAGAGTTAGTTGATGAGGCTATAAAGTACCAAGTGATATTGTTAGGCTCTCGTCAACGAAGCGCCAAGGCTCTAGAATCCTGAACCTCTGAGGGTGGAAGCTATTCCACTCAGGCATCGACATCACGACGCGCGCTCTGGCCGGTGTTGGTGTTCGAGTAGAACCCAACCTCGCAGATAGAATCATTGATTGAAAGCCTGTCAGCGGAAGAAAGTAATCCTTTGACTGAAGCTACAACACGCTAAAACGTTGACCTACCGTACAGAAAAATGCGCTCAATTTGGAAGGAAAATACGATACCTTCCTTGAAGAAGTGCAGTGTGCTCTGTCCGAAGTGCGGAATACAGAGTCCCTCACACT